AGCAGTGTCTCCCCCCCCACCGCCGCTACGGGGCTGCCCGGTTCAGCCCCGACCTCGCCGTGCAGTGCCCCCCCCCGCGAGTATCGCGGGTCCCCCTTCTTGTTTAAGTCTAAACAACATCTGGACAAGGTCCTCATTTGGACTGAAAATCTTATGGAGGAATATGGAGAGACATAAACCTAGGTAACTTATCAGTGAAAAGAAGACCCTCCCCTCCCCCCCCCAAAAAAATGGCTATATAAACAGCTTTTTTTCTTTGCAACAAAGGAAGCAACAATAATTCTTACTCCCCAGATTAAAATGTGTTATGGATTCCTTAATGCCCGAATAAGTAGCTGTGACGGACTGCACATTAAACGCTCATAAGTTCTGTATAAACATGTAATGGACTGTGAAGGGTTAATGACTCACAGAGCCAGAGAGCCTTAAGTGACAGGCTGCTCCAAGGAATTTGATTAGTTAGCGTCAGGTGAGCAGAAAGACTTGGGAACTGACTGCTGAAGAGAACTTAGTTTGAGTTTATCCCCGACTGTAGAAAGTTTAACTCTGACTAAGGAGAGTTTAGCTCTGACTGAAAACATTGGCAAGGAGTGGGTGGACCAGTGAAGGCCCCCATTCAGTGATTCCCTGCCCAGGTAAAAGGGGGGTAGCTCTAAAGAGTTGAGTGATCCGTGGTGTGCTCAGAGAAGGAATCTGGATGCTTGTTAGTGTATCCCTGCCTTCTGAAACCTGAAGAGTCAGTTAAACTCAAGAAAGTATACTGGAGTGTTTAGGAAACACTGAAACAAAAGCCTCTCATCTCAAAAATTTTAAGACTGCGTGAAAAGTTTAAAACTCTCAATTGCTGGAAACATATGAGCTGTAGTCTGAAAATATTAAGTTACCTCAGAATTTTTAATTTACCTCAGACATTTTACCCCTGATTTCACCTGACCTTTTCTCCTCCAAGTTGAATAAAATATTTTGGTCCCAGTCACACAGAGAATTTGCCACGCGAGAGGTACGACAGCCGGGCAGATTAAAAGGGCGCGATCATACAGCAACATCTGGAAAGTGTTGCGCGCCCATCTCCAACTCGTAGCGTCTGGCTGAAGATGCAGAGTTAAAAAGCAGCTGGGAAAGTGTAGTATTGTCCAGAAAACACGGGGCGCGGGCGGGCGTCTGATCGCAGAAGCAGTGGTATCCTGTCGCATCCGGCACCTGTCCGCGTCCCACCGGATGTTTTCTTCTAACCCTCTGTGGTATGCACACAAACGAGCACACACACAAATGCGCTACTGCCTTGTTGCCACGCTTCAACATCACGGTGTGATCAGCGGCTGACGGCCTGAGCACGGAGCCTCGAGGGAACGTCAGATCGTGATACCGCGCTTCATTTTGCTCCAGAGCAAAAGGCCTCACTCCCCCCCCCCCCAGATTATCTTGCTCGTGTGACCGGGGGCCTTTGTTTATTTTTGAATATTATAAAGCATCTTGTGTGCCGTTTCAGAAGTTAAGAGGATGATCCTGTCTTCCCTCAAGCTCCTGGACTGAGTCAGCATTAAAATACAATAATATGGCAGGGTGGGACAGCCATAGATCTTCAGGAAAGAAGAAAATAAAGGGGCTGCTCAGTCAGAAAGGAAGAGAAAAACAAAGTCCTGCAACTGAGGGAGAGAAGAAGGTGAGGTCATCATAGTGGCATAAACCAAAAACTGAAATTCTGACAAAGTGACTATGGTATAAGTTTTGCAAATATAGTAGGATTTGACACCCACTATGTAGTTACTGCCCTTAGAAAAAGAAGGCAGCTTTTTACTAATTGTTGTTTAGCACTATGAAATGGCAGATGAAGTCAGCCTGCAGTTTTTCTTCTAATAGAGACTGTGCACAGTGCCCTAGCCAGTGGCTGCCTTTAATTAATCTGATGATATTGTGATTCTTGTATATGGAATTTTGGACTTAAATAATCAGGAATGGTCTTAGGGCACGCAGTAGCAAAAAGCCTCTCCCTTGTGAGAACTCTGACTCAGCTGAAGAGGAAGAAATAAAAGCTCTGCATTACTTCTCCAAAGGTACACACTAAGACTTTCATGCAAGATCTGGATTGTTATGGACAAGAGGAGCCAGTATTTTCAGGAACTTCAATTAGTTGACAAACATCTGACATGACTCAGTCGGGCGACAGAAATTACAGAAAACTATAGACAACTATCTACAGGAGAGAGAAAGAAGTTCCACACTAGAAACATCACATCTTAGTTGTGAGTTAAAAGGCTCCCTGCACCAGCAAAAACAGTAAAGATGAAATAACCTGGAATATATAAAGTTAACTAACTTCAAAACCAACATTTAGGGGAAAGAAGAAATTAAAATTAATTATAATGAGTTTAAATTTTATGAGCTGTAACGTGTTCAACAGCAAACTAAAAGTAAAAACTTAAATTGTTAGTGGAAAGAATCAAACGCTGGATAGTTGTTTTACAATTGTTTATGATGTGGTAAACAAGTAAATTGAGGTTACCTTAAGCACAAAAGACCTCCTTAAAAATAAAATATTATTTAAACGTTTCAGAAGTAATGAGAACACAAGTTTTTAGACAAGGAAAGATGGGCAGTAGTAAGGGTTATTTTAGCAAGATAAACATTGCACATCATATTTTATTGATTAGGTGGGTCACTGAAAAATACCAACTTATAAGACTGTCTCCAGTACCATATTAATAATGCCATGGTGTTTAGAATCCAGATGGTTAGTGCTAATCTACTGACACAAAGAGCCTGATAGATGAATTCTGCAATGGCACTGAACATAGGCAAATTACATGGTGCCCAGCTACACAGAATATTTATTCAGCTGGACTTTTAAATAGGGATGGGCACGAACCAGCTCACAAGCCAAAATTCAGCGCAAACCGAGGCCAGTTCAGAGCCCCCAAACCAATGTTTGGGAACGCGCCTTCCCCAAACATTTACCAGACTTTTGTCTGGTTTGACTGTTCAGGGCAATTTAAACCTAAAAGCTGAGTGGCAGGGATCTGCAGCTGAGCTGCTAGGTTTAAATAGCTGAGAGCCACTTCACTGGTCAGTTTCACTTCCCATCACTTCAAAGAGGGGAGGAAGCTAAACAGATGGGTTGGAGAGAGTTGACAAAGAGAACTTTCAAGCCCCTTCCAAGTGATGGTGCCACACCTCGAAAGAGGGCAACCAAGATGATTAGGGGGTTGGAACACCTTCCCTACAAGAAAAGGCAGAATTTTCCAGTTTAGAAAAGAGACAACCAAGGGGGAACATGGTAGAGATTTAAAAGATTATGCACAGGTTGGAGAGAGTTAACAAAAAGAACTTTTTCTCTCTCTTCCAAAATATTAGAACTCGAGGGCATCCAATGAAGCTGAAGGGCAGCAGCTTCAGGACAGACAAAAGGAAACACTTCTTTATACAGAGAGTGATTAAAATGTGGAACTCACTGCCAGAGAATACAGTGATGTCCACAGGCATAAATGGCTTTAAAAGGGGATTAGACAGATTCATGAAAGAGAGGTGTATCAGTGGCTACTAGCCATGGTAACTGAAGGGAACCTCCACATTCAGAGATGGCCAACCTCTGAATCCCAGTGTCAGAAGACAACATCAGGGGAAGGCCTCAGCCTCTGTGCTTTGTTTGTTGGACCCCCATAGTAAATAGTTGGCCATTGTGTGAGACAGGATGCTGGACTGGATGAACCACCGGTCTGACTCAGCAGGACTCTTCTGTCCTTAAGGTCTCTGCACAAGTAGGTACCTGTTGTGCACCAGGCGCAGGCAGGCAATTCCAGACATATTCAGGTGCTCACACAAAGTTCAAAGTTCAGTCCCAGAAGTTTACAAGTCAAAAGTGCACAAGCCAGAGAATCGTTACCAGAAGGGGTGAAGCAGAGAGCATAGTCATGAGGTCCAAAGGTCATCCACAAGTCAAAGAGTCACAAAGACGAAGTCAAAGTCCCAAGCTGGTCCAAGGTTGCACAAAAAGCAGGGCTAGGAGTTGTGACCCAGCAGAATGACTTGTTACTTCCACAACATGCAGGCTCCCAGTCCTGGATTTTATAGGCACTTCCTAAGCAGCCCTTGTTAACACCCAGCTGCTTGGGAGCACTGCTGCAACTATTCCAGGCTGTCATCAGCAAGCAGCTAATGACAGATCAGGAGACGTGCACTCTGCCTCCTTGCTTGCAATTCCCTTCTAGGCTTCTGTCTCCAGCACTCGAAGGGTGGAAGTGAGCCTGGTGGACTGGCCTTAATCACTTGAGTTTCACCTGCTGCAACAAAGCTGGGCAGTAGCCCTGGATCAGTTGGTAATGGTGAGTCTTAGTCAGCCTGCAGCTCATCAGCCTGTTTGCTGGCTTCTGCTGACTCAGAGCCAGCCATGTGTGGCTCCCCTTCTCCTAAGGAGTCCTCTTCCCCTGAGGAGTCCTCCTCCACTGAGGACTTCATGCGGAACTCAGGCTGACCCACAACAGTACCTTTAAGTATGGCTGCACCTTATGCGGTTTTAGAGGGAAAGGCAGTGATTTCTGCCACTGCCACCTCCAGCATATGAATCCAAACTGGCCTCTGCCTCAACTTCTCTCATCCTTTTTTCCACCACCTCATGTTTGCTGGAAATGCCTGTGAGAGTTCATCACAAAGCACTCTTTGATTAAACACTAATTTTTAATTGCTAATGTAGTAAATACCTTTGTAGCATCAAATCATACTAATACACTTGGCTTACACAAAGGACTTCCTCCCTCAACAGTATTCAGGCACTTAAGGTATGCATTGCATAACGTGGTATATTGATTTGTGTTGAACTACAACCAGACACATCCAGGTTCAAAGCAAAAATTCTACACATTGTTCAATATGAAAACATACAGCAGAACATGTAGCTAAAGTGTGTTGTTTCACACTTGATTAGAACAAGTTCTCCATACCACAGCAGTGTTAGATGTATCTAAATCTCTCCAGCATATTGATTTTATTCAGCCTTATCGACGTACCTGTCATCTGTGTTAGAAAATTGAATGCTGTCAACTTTGTCCTGCAAAAGAACAACAAATGTATTGAACTGAGCGTGAACAATGTGAGTGATTTTTTAAAAATATCAGTCCATTCCTGCAGAGTATTAAATATAATCAACAAAACACTAAAGTCAAGAACCATGGGGCAGTTTCCAATTACATGGCACAATAGTTAATCTGGAGCTTTAATGCTTTTTGGTGCATTATCCCCATAGTTTGATGAACAGAAAAAGAACAACTTTGACAAAATTCATGCTTATCCCCTAACTGCCAAGGTGTGCAGGGAAGAGGGATATACTAGGACTGAAGCAAGTTTAATCACCAGTAAGTAAATAGCCTATCCATGTTACAGTCTGAATATATAATCATACTTCAATACAGGCTACTTCTTAGCATTTTATTCCTTACCGCATGGCTTTCCATCTCTGCGATTTTTTCAGGTATTTCAGAACCAAAGTAATACAGTCTGATAACATGATCGGTACTGCCAGTAGCTAAAAACATTCCACCTGAAAATTTAAACAATAATTTAACACATTGACAAGTATTTATAAAGTACAAGGGGGAGGAGACCTGCAAAGGACATCAAAGGCCTCATCTTCCCATCCCCCACTATTCCACATTTATTTTCCTGAAAGTTCCTATAGCTTTTTCTTCCCCCTTTTGTTTCCTTCTGTCCTTACCACCCACCAGCCAATCTTTATGTTCCCCCATCACCACCTATATTTATTGATTACTTATTGCATTTATACCCTGCTTTTCTTCACAATGGGACCCAAAGGAACTCACATCATTCTCATTTCTTTTTTACCCTCACAGTAGCCATGTGAGGTACGTTAGGCTGAGAATGTGCCAGTAGCCCAAGTTCACCCAGCAAGCTTCTATGGCAGAGAGGGGATTCATACCTAGGTTTCCCAGATCCTAGTCTGAAACACTAACCACTACACAACACTGGCTTTTGTGGGGTGGCGGCTACTGAACAGAAGCATGTGTAAATCATGCAAGTTGGGTGTTAGCAAGTCAGCTGCTGGGCCTAGCCTCAAGTCCTCCTCCCTCAAAGGCCAAAAACATCCCAGAAAGGGACATGCCTGGTCTTCCCTGCCTTTTACTGGCAAAAATCAAGGCTTGAACAGCAGTGTTACTTTTGCTGTTGCCTAGAAATACAATGTAACATTGAAACATACAGTATATATGTGAACACAAAGAAATTAATTGTGTGTGGTGTCAATACCAATTTAAAAAATCAATAATTAATAATAAACAAATAATTATTTTATAGACAAATAAACAATTTATACAGTTTCCAAATCCTAAACAAAATTATTCATGCAATACACAATTCATAATCAGGGCATAAATGATTTAACGTAAGTCCTGTATATATAGCTCACAAAGTCCTAAACACTTCAAATTGCTCAATCCCTCCTAATGAGCAACATGCTTCACAGTGTAAAGGGCGGAAATGAGCTTCCAAAAGATATCTACTCCAGCAGTTCCAAAAGAGGAACACTTGAATGGTTCCAAACCATTGGAATGGGTATCTTCTGTGCTCCCCCCCCCCACCCCTTTACATTGTGAAGCATATTGTTCATTAGGAGGGACTGAGCACTTTGAAGTGTTTTGGACTTTGAATCCTAGCCTTCTACTTGAAGAAACAGGCTACAGTGGCTCTCTCATCAGTAGTGCAAGAAAACTATGCTACTTTTTAAAAATCCCTCATATGTTCCGTTTTAGACATAATAGAGAACTACAGTTCTAAAATATAGAACAGAGATGAGAATCTCTGTGAAGAGGGCAAAAGGGAGCTCATTGCACATTTCCACCACTGAAACATAATTTGAAGATAGGGAAGTACAATGAATAAAATAAGGTACCATATTACATCTTAATAGAAAAGAGGTACCAATTGTTTGGAGGCAAGAACACTAACAGTGGATAACCAATGAGAGTACAGAACAAAGACAAAAATAAAAGTGTTAAAAGCTATTCAAACACAATTATAAAAATTGGGAAGTTACAGGTTTTCAATGAAAATACAACAGAAACCTTATGGGCTCTGCAAGAGAACACAAGACATACTTACCAACACTAAATGAAGAACAAAGCATTTGAACTCCAGGTCTAGGCTTTTCTGTGAATTTCAGTGGCCGGTTACTTTACAAACAATAAAAAATGTATGAATACACAACAGGATAGTAAAATATTCCAGAGAGATATCTAATGTTAATAAAAAGTGAAGCTGATATATTTATGCACCAATAGGCTACAATATTAAAATCAAACCTCTCTTGTGTTTCTGCAACAGCTAATTTAGTAATTTTATTTATTCCCAGGGTGATGTGTTTCTGCAACAGCTAATTTAATAATTTTATTTATTCTCATGGACAACTACCACTCTGTTACAACATGTTTTTTCTATGTTTGGGGTTTTCTGCCAACAAATCACAGCTGACTTATAGCAACTCCATTGGGTTTTCATGGCAAGAGACCTTCAGAGGTGGTTTGCCATTGCCTGCATGCGTGTCATGACCCTGATATTCCTTGGAGGTCTCCTGTCCTGCTTAGCTTCCAAGATCTAATGAGATCAGGCTAGCCTGGGATATCCAACAGACCACAACTGTTTCATGTATTATAGTAACAAATGACATACATAGTAATCTGGTTACGTACTTGAATTTCATAGAACTGGTATCCCATTGCCAGAAGCAAATTGTTCCATCTGCACCAGTGGATGCCATGTATCGCATGGAGTCTTTCACCAATGGGCTAAACTAGAAATTAAAGCCATAAACCATAAGTGTGTACTTTAAACAAAATAATAAATATTTTAAGAGAATTTCTCTGCCTTTCCTTACAATTTTGATTCAGCTAATTTCAATGCATGCTCTTCATGAAAAAGACTGATTTCATTCACTGCTTAAAACTGATATGTTAAGTTGCTTTGTTCCAGTTTGTAGTCAAGTTTATTTTGTATCCCCATTCCATAAAACTAAAACAAAACCCAAATCTTATAGTTTTCAAATTGTCTTTCACCAAACCATCAAATGCATAACCTCTTTTGGTCAGCATGTTACTAATCTAAGCAGACATTTCCCCCAGCCTTCTAAACAGCTACTCACCTGTGATCAGTACAAGCCATTCTGAGATGACAAAATAAAGAAGCATTTACAAACTGGGAAACACTGGTTTTTTTCTCATTTCAGACTGGCAACATGCCACACGACTACCACAGGTATGTGCGCACAAGCATATTAGTAACAATTTGTGGGCTACCGTGCATTCACATGCATACAATTAACTGAATCAAAAGAATGGCTTGCAGAGCTCTGCTGATGGACTATAATATAGTCACTATACGTTTCCCACCCCCACCTTCAGCAGTCTTTCATGCCACTTTAAAAGCTGCTTCACACAAGGAAAATCCATCAAAACAATAGATTTCCTATCCTTGTGCAAACAGAAGTGCCACTTGCACAAGAACTATTTTGGATCTAACCCATTACATATAAGAATAATGTATAAAAGGCTCTAAGTGCATGATTATTCACAGCTTCATTTCTTTTCAGTGGAGAATAATCAGCTCTACAACAGGCCTAAACAAAACCAGGATAGAGGAAACCAAGTGTATTTTACCATATACTAAGAATCAAATAAGCATATACAATCCATTGCCCTTTCTTATAAAGGCATGTGTGGAAAGCCATGCATGACCTATTTACGTCATGTTATAACAAGCTTGATATGTATACCTGAGTTCCTCTGCTGCAATTCTGGTTCCTACATTTAACAACTGTAAGTAGTGTTACCCAATGATAAAGCAATGGATTAAAGCTACTAAAAATAATAAAAAATAAGCAAACTATAAAGCTATGGAATATCAAAAATATTATAAATATAGTAATTGGAATAGGCTACAATGAAATAAATGGCAGTGAATTAGAACAATTAGTACTAAAATATTTGATACAGAATACAAAGGGTAAGAGATCAATGGTTACATATAAGAAAATCATTTATACAGGCAATCTGTGTTCTTTAAAAAAAAGCAATATAAATACATGATGTGGAAGAGGTTTTGATGATGAAGGAAAAATTTGAAGAGAGAGGAAAAACTTCATGATGATGGAAGAAGGGAGGGGCTTGCTGCTGATGAAGAATGGGGAAGCTTGCCAGTCAATCCCCCCTAGAGTTCAGAAGTAGGAGCAATTTTGTGTTAGAATGCACAGCTGAATTCAGGACTTAAAGTTCAGAGTTCAGATGTGAATAGCAGCACGAACAATGTGTGCTGAAATGCAGGTGCTGGCTAAATTGCTCAGGAGTTGGCAATGAAGGGCACATAGGGACTTGCAGAGGGATCTATGCAGGCAGTGCAATAACTATAAATCAGGAACACATGGTAGAAGAAGAATTAGAAAACAGCTTTAGGATGGCTCCAGCCCAAGAGCTGATATCGACTGGAGTACTGTGTAACTGTCTTGGTTCTGAGATAAGGAGTCTGATGATGACCTCCCCCCCCCCATTCCAGAATAAACAGAAGTAACATGAATATTTGAAAGAGAAGGCTCTGCCAGTCACACTCCTCTGAGTCCAAAAGTGTTCAATAATACAAGTAATTCAAGCTGAGTTAGACTTAAGCAACATTTTGAAGTTATTCTCTCTTAGAGTCCAAAGACAACAGAGGCATAACCAATTTGTGCCCTGCAAGGCAGTTCAAAGGTGTCTAAAAGGTGATAGCATAAAGTTCTAGGTGATAGCATGAAATAATACTGGAGATTCCAGAAGACTTGGCAAAACTTCTTGGTTTCAAAAATTGTCTGGGAAACTGTCGATAGGGGATTTGTAGTCAGGCAGGGACAATTACTCCAGACTGGAGCATAAGCAAAGGAAGGCACAAGTAGCAGTTGGTGTTTTAAGTAGAAGGGTCCCGGATTAGGTGTCTTTGAGTCAAGAAGTGGTTGTAATGTAATAAGACAGGTGAGGTGCAGGGGAGCCATGGTGGAATTGCGGTAGTTTCAGGTCAGGGAGGTAGCTGGATGTCTCGGGGGGGGGGTGGCTTTAACTGGAGCATGCAGAGAGCAGAGCAGATGAAGTATTGCAGATCTCCCTTCCAGGAGATGGGAACTGGTTCGACAGGGAATGCACATTCAAGAGAGCTTGCAGGAAAATGGAAATGGCTGTGGCATGGATTCAGACTCAGGAGCTGACAGGAAAATGGCATGGGTGAATGGCTATTGTCTCTGGAGATGGCAACAGTGGGCAGCATGTATGAACAAAATTTGCAGGCTTGGGAATCCAGGCTTAGGATCCTGCAGTTTTTTGGAGTAAACTGAAAAAAGTTAAAGGGGCTTCCCACATCAGGGCTGTGAAAGCTTAATGGAGGTGACATCAGAGAGGATCTGAGACAGCCACGGTCAGTTCCCTTTTTAGGTCAGAAGAGCAATAGCAATGAGTTTACAAATGTGAAATAAAACAAAACTTTTAAAAATACTCTAAGTTGTATTTATTTTTTTAAGTGTTTTTTTTTAAAAATTGGTTGTTAACACTGATCACTTTAACTATTAGGATTATTGAAAAAAGCAGAAGACCCTGAGAAAAAAGCTGGATTTCTGCATATGGGGAAAGAGTTAAGAGTCTGGTCCCCCAAAATAAAGTTAAAATAAGAATAGCAATAAAATAAAATAAAAGCCAGGCAAAATATAAAATGGCTTCTGGAACAATGACATTTCTATAATGTGGGGGGGGAACTTAACAAGTAGATATTCTTGAAAATAAAGATTTTACAAACCCTTTTTTTTTTTTGGCCTTGACAATCTGTCTTATCTATTAAGCAGAAAAAGTCTTCGTTTGGTATATAGCTTTCTGGTTCTTACAGAGGGGAGGGGCTGCAAATTGAGGGTTGCCAATCTCCTGGGGAGGAGGAAGGAACAGCTTTTGTCACACTTTTCCATAACATAAAAAAAATTTAGAGACTATATCCTGTATTTTTTCCACAATAGACTTATAGTTATGATTCAACAATTCAAAATACCAATGATATTATTATATAGATTTGAAACTGTGCTTCCCTCTTATGGGTTTTGCTCATAACATAAAAGGGTTAAATTGAAGTTTTCTTCCCCGCAAAGAAGGGGGGAATGTGGCATTCCTGGCATTCTTGCACCTAGACTAAATTTCTGTTTTCTTCTCAAGTCATAACAAAGGCAAGATGGCAGAGTAGCTAGGAGAATGAGTTAATTAGGATTATTATTTTATTTCTAAGCAAGGAAAATAAAACTTCTTTTC